GGCTTGAATTGTGAATCCCAGGGCTTCAGAGTGCTAGGATTCCAGGTCCTTATCTTCCACACCTGAAACTCTATTCTCCTTGAACACTAACTTGCCATTTCCTGACCACACCTGTTAGACTCAGTGACCACTACCCTGTTTTTCTGATTTTGGCTAATTACATACTGCAGATAAGCAGCAGCATGCCATACTTGTCCTGTTACTGGCTTATTTTACTTAGCATAATGTACTCAAGATTCACTCGTTTTTATAGATTTGCAATCTTTAAAGAGGAATTATATTCTGTTGTATGTATATCCTGAATTTTCTTTATCCACTTGTCCACATTAGGTTGTTCCCACCTTAAGCTATGATAATAATGGAAGAACAAAATCTCTCCTCTAGAACCTGATTTTGCTTTGGTAAATAACCCCTTATCAGAGTTATGGTTTGCAAGTATTTTCTTCCATTTTGTAGGCTGCCTTTTATACAAATAATTATTCTTTGCTCTGTGGAAGAGTTGTAGTTTGATTTAGCACCATTTTTCTAACTTTGGTTTTGTTGCCTGTGGTTTTGGGGTCCCACCAAAAAATCATCACCAAGAACAATGTCTTGGTTATACTAAAATCCTAAATCTATTTTAGAGTTTTTTTCTGTATGTGAGATGAAGGTTCAATTTCATTCTTTTACTTGTGGATAACATTTTCCCAGCACCATCTGTTGAAGAGACTATCATTTCCTTTTGTACATTCTTGATACCTTACAAGTATGTGAATTTATTTCTGGGCTCTTCTGTTCCAGTGGAGTAGGTGTCTATATCTTTGTGCCACACTGTTTTAATTGCTGAAACTTTATGATATATTTTGAAATCAGTAATTATGTTGCCAATGTCTTAGCTTGCTCTTTTCCTAATAAACACTGCCTATAATGATTTTGACAAAGGGGAAGCTTAAAACATTTGTTTGCCATAATCAATGTCTTCTTTAACACCAGTGTTTTTGAAAAGGCCTTTTATGCTCAAATCTCTATCCTTAGTGTTTTCCTTAATTGTAGTGTTTAAAATGAATTCATATGGAATACAATTGTGTGAAGAAGAGATCTAGCTCCTGCTGAAAAGTAAGCTAGTGCCCCAATAGAACTTATGAAATATTCATTCCCTCCTCCACACCAATTTGAAATATGAAATTTATCACATCTCTAAACAGCACCTGCTTCTAATTATGAGAGGCAAGTTATGATGATTATAAGGTGGCAGCGGAAGACAGGCAGAGGATGCCCAGCAGAATCAACGTCCCTCACCAGGTCTGCTATTCTCAGCCACTGCCCAACATATGGGAAAGGGTACAGGAAGAGCAGTGTAGCAGTACTTTCCAAAGCAGATACCACATTCCCTGGGGCTGATGCTCTTGTGGGAAAAACCAGGGCTTTGCATAAACACGAGGCCTCTGGTATCCCAAACAGCCTCTCAATGCAACAGAACCACAGTAATAATAGAATGCTGCAGAAAGTGTGACATCTTCTTTATAAACAGTAGGCTGTGTTTTATTTAGAGTCAATGGTGTCTAGAATTTATAACCTCATAACCTTTAAATAAATTACAAATGCCAGGAGGTGGATACTGACATTAAATGGTCTCTTCAGCCTTCGGGTTTAAAATAATTCAACTTCCTGGAAAAGAATACTTAAAAACAAGCTAAGAGAAGCATAAGCACAATGGAAAGGATTACCACCATCAGTGTCCCTAACAACAGAAGTTGTTACCATTTGAGGTTTTGTGTGTAAAAAACGATTTGTAGTACATGAAAATTATTGTCATCCTGGGAATGACTCCCTAAATATTCCCACACTGCCAAATGAGAAACCTGAGATGTGGTGAGGCTCAGTAAGTAGCTCTAGGTTGGGACATAAATAGAAAGGGGCAGAACCAAGAGTTGTACCAGGATCTAGTACCTCAAAAGTTTATTTTATTCCTGCTCAACTTAGGAAATAATGCCTGTTTGCCAACTAATTATAAAGGAAGTCAAGGTCACCTGCTGTCACAAAATACCATAGTAAAAAAAAAAAAAGACACCAAACACAACCTTTTCAATTACACAAAAATCGAGGACTAGGAGATTCAGCTTAAGTCACTGGCTACAGGGATGCTATTCTTAGCATGGAAGTTGTTTTTCCAAAAGCCACATTAAAGTGACATTTTCCTCATCAGGCTCATCATAATATCAGTTCAGTCTTCAGCAATAATAACAAACCACCAAGTCAGAGAAGCTGGAAGAGTCATGCTTATGATTTTTTGGAAAATATAAGGACCAGACGACAGAATCTAAATTGATCTACAATGGTGACTCTTTAAAATTTATCCATTTCTGTTAAAAAAAAAAAGTGACCACTGGTTAAAATTGTGTTAAAAAGTGATTAACTTGAAACATTCTAGAACTCTCTCATATACCTTATTTCTACTTCGTGGTTAAAAGTTTTGTCAAAACATCACGATTAGTACTTTCCATTTCCTTTCCCACTTGGTCAGGAGTTAATCTACCATCCTGATGAATCTGACCTGTAAAGATTCACTGAAATAAGGAAAAATTTCAGTGCGACAACCTAACAAGGAAAGCTACTGCTATGGCTTTTCTCTAAGGAGAGAAAGAGATATACTGAGGATCATCATTTGTTATGCCTGTCATAGTTTGCATGACTACAGACTTGGACATGAGATTATCTTTCCAGGTTTTATATTTAATATAGGTTAAAATGATGTAATAGATGATCTAACCAGCTGCCAAAGTACAGGAGAACTACAAAGTACAAAAAAACAGCCCTTAACAAAGATGTGTTCAGAGCTTATTTTGAAAACTATAAAACACTGTTGATAGAAATTAAAGATCTACCTAAATGTGAAGAAATACTATACTTAAGGCTCAGAATACTTAATGCTAAAATGGCAAGAGCCCAGAGATCTATATACAGATTCAGTGCAATCCCTATCAAATTTCCAGCTGATGTCTTCATAGAAATTGATAGGCTGGTTCTAAAATTCATGAGAATTCTAGGTTTCCAGAAGAACCAAAAAATCCTGAAGAACAAAATTGGAATCATACTTCATGATTCCAATACTTACTACATCAAATAATCACGACAGAATAGACTTGGCAAAAATAGACATATAGACCAGTAGAATATAATTTAGGATCCAGAAATAACTCCTCATAATTATAGTCAATTTTTTATCAAGGTGCCAAAGCATTTTATTTTATTTTTTCTAAATGTTTTAAAGAAAAATGTTTTTATACCAACTGAATGTCCAAGTGGAAAAGAATAATGCTGGACCTGCACCCTATAAGAACTAACTTGAATCAAAGACCTATATTTAGAGTTAAAACTGTACAAGTCTTAGGAGAAAAGAGGCACAAATATTTGTGACTTTGGATTAGGCAATGTTTTTTGAACCATGTCACCAAAAGTGTAAGAAACAAAAGAAAATAAACATAAGCTGGATCTGACCAAAATTATGCTTCTGGGGATACTATCAAGAGAGTAAAAAACAACTCACAAAATGGGAGCAAATATCTACCAAACGTATCTCTGATAAAGGTTTAATATGTGGACTAAAGAACTACAACTCAACAATACAAACGATCCAGTTGTTAAAATGAGCAAGGATTTGATAGACACTTCTTAAAGAAGATACAAAAATGGCCAATAAACACATGAAAAATGCTCAACATAAAGCATGAAAGGAAATGCAAACAAACTACAAGCAGATACTATTTCATAATCAGCAGGCAAAAAGACAGACAGAAGCAAGAGTCAGCAAGAATGTGGAGAAACTGGACCCTCATACATGCTGGTGGGAATACAAAGTGGTGTGGGCTCTTTGGAAGTTTCTCAAACTGTTACATACAGAGTTACCATGTAGTCCAGCTTTCTGATAATGAGTAACTGGCTTTCCAACATAAAATAAAGCTATTCTATAGAATATGAGCTATTTTTGTCTTCTTATATATTAAGCTGTGCTAGAAATGTAGAACAAAACAATATAAAAAGCTAAATCTACAGAGAACAACTCTGTTTTTTAAATTTCACTTGAATAACCGTATATATTCAAACTCAGGCTATTGGAGACCTTTAGAATTTAAATCATTCTGTATGGCAGACTTTTCTCTAGCTTTAAGAATTTATAAAAGATTAACAATTTCATATAATTTCTTCTACTTCCCTGCCATTCTAAGCTGAGGAAAATGAATACATTCAGTGAGGCAAAGATACTAGTTATTCCCTGAATGGTAACTAGCACTCTATTTTCTTTATATAGGATATTCACAAGCTTTCATTTCCTGATCAGTTTTCCCTCAGTAGATCAAATTCTTCATTTAAGACTCTCCCAGGAGCACACAGCATTCCTTCCCTTGAAATGGTTTTGATTCTTATGTATTTGAGCAATTCCTTGATTATTCTGTAAATTCCCTGAAGAAAAGGCACTTTGCTCAACTGCATCCTGGATGTCTGACAGGGTCATGGAAGATCAATATGAGGTAACCATACCTTTCTCTCTTCTAATCTTTAAGGAATTTAGAATCCATAAAACTGTTTTATAAGTGCACACAGAATGAGACTGTAGGCAGTATCCAAGAAATTTGATGAACTACACATATAATACAGGATTTGTAATGAATACATTATGTAACTATGCTTCTAAAGCGTAGAGGCTTTAACTCTTGCTTCTAAAGAGGCAAAGGCTTTAATTTTCATCTCTGGTTCAAATAGTTGAAGCCTCATATTGTCTTAGAGATATAAGTATGTCCAACAGAAGAATAAAGAGAAGAGAAAAATCTAAGCCATGGAGCGGCTATCGATGATTTGTCAGTACACAACAGAAGTACTCATTCACATCTCAAACCTGAAATCCACTTGCAAGTGTAACAACGAAAATTCACTACAAATAACTCTAAATAGTTTTAATGATAGCATGAAATTGCAAGAGAAAAATTCCTTTTTCTCTGCTCATATTTAAGGTGGTCACTCACCTGTATTGAAAGACGTAAACAGACTTTTCCTTGAAGGACCTAGAATATGAAAGAAATATGTATAAAATACACATACATTTTGTTAGAAATATCACACAAAAACAAACTATAAGTGACTTTATTTTTAAAAACAATCAAAAATCCTCCAAATGTTAGGTTCCAGATAGGAAATACTACAGCCATGAAATCAACGTTTACAATATGTTTTAAGTATAAACTGATACTGCAAATATCATCAAAATGATAATAGTAAGAGTGATATGGCTTTATTATCACAAGTTAAATATGATCAATTTTAATGGATATGCCACAGAATTTGTTCAGGCAAGATCAATTAAAGTTCATTTTTTAGTAGTAAAGTCACACACTTATGAACAAACACATTATTCTATTGCTAATGGCAGAAAGGGGCCAGACTTTATGAAAGACATACGCTAGCATAAACTTTCCGAAAGTGTCAATTTCTACTCAGCAGTGAAAAAAAATATGGTTTTTCTCCCAACTAATTCACTAAAACACAACCAGGAGTGGCAATGGGCACAGAGCTACACATCAGTAAAAGAAAACTATGAGTGGTTCTACTTTTCATCAAACAGTAATAATGCATAAGCCTCTGCAGGCTACTAGCTAGAACTAGCTGCAGTCTCCTGTCTATGGGATTTTACATCTATGGTGAGCTCTCACAGTACATGGCACAGCCATTATAAATGTAAAGTACCGATTCTCATGAAATAAAACCTTTGTGATAATAAAACTCTTACTAATTCAATTGTGAGGCCATTTGAAAGCACTGAAGGTTCCTGTTCTACAAAATTATCAGTAGGATCTCTAAACTTTCCTTCTCTGAAAGTTATTACAGCATCTAAGTTTGTCAATGCTTATTTTCAGTTACTGCAGTGTAAATTATGTGACTTTATGATCATGAATAAAACCCCAAATTTCACATCCTGATATCACCCCCCTGGCAAGGGATCACTTGATATTTCAAAGTCTGAAATATCTCTGAATGAATCTCTGTGAATAACAATTCATAAATAAGAATCTATGACACAAGAAAAACCTCTTTTCCAATCTTTACACCTATTTTTGTTTTAATTGGGTGTAAAGAAAAAAAGTTATTACACATTAAGTAGGTCAGCAACCTCAAGTTACACATGATCCTTCACACACACACACACACACACACACACACACATTAAGGAGAATGCTGAAGAGCATATATTCTCACATTGCTGTGAGACTAATACCCTTTTTAGAAAGTGACTTGCATTCAAAGAGGTTCATGTGATTGAACCGAGGAATATCCCATGGAGGTTATTAGAATCTGACACAATTACCACATTAAAGATGTTTGTCTCAGTATTATGCACTACAATGAAAACCGGAAATTCCCCAACATAAACAAAACCAGACAACCACAGAATTGGAAAACAACCCTTTAAAACAAAGAATCTTTCATGATACACTATAATTCATTAAAAAGCAAAACACTAAAGGGTGTATGCACTATGCTGCTGATTCTGTTAACAAAAACAGAACCATGTTTATATGGAGAGGGAAAAAACTAGAAGACAATGCAATGGTGATTGGTGGTCGATAGAATTAAGGAAGACTCAGATGTTTCTGTTTTCCAAATTCTCTCATATAAACATGGGCTGCATGTCATAGGCTGATTTCTCCACGATTATTCTTTTGGTGAGACACTCTTTCTTTTATTTTTATTTTTTTGTCTTTCCTTTTTATCGGTACTGGGGATCGAACTCACGAAGGCCTGCTTGCAAGGCAGTTGCTTATGCCGCTGAGCTAAATCCCCAGCCCGAGACACTCTTTCAATGCACTACAAACAAAGAAAACTTCTGATGCACCTCAGACCCATAGTGTTGAAGCTGCAGGAAAATCATACAGCACAGGTTTATAAACCTGAAATTATTCTTAATATTCACAACAATTACCAAGTGAGTGATGCAGGAAGGACTAAAGAGCAGGGAAAAAAAAGAAAAAGCAAGAAACATAGTTAAAGAAATAAATATAAATACTGCTAGAGACGGGAAGCAAATCACACATTTCTAATTCTTTCTCAGTATTCTAGAGAATTGTAACAATTTAAAATTTTTGTAGTTTTTACCTGATATCCTTGTTCTGCTTTCCGATTTATCCACAGAGCCTATCGACTCTCAGAACAAGAACAATTCCTTTGGTGTAAAAATGTATTATATCTCCTTACTCAACAGATTTTTTAAAATTAGTAACTATACTATAAACTTAATTGGCAAAATTTAACTTTTTACAAGTCACTGACTTTAACAGTCTTGCTCTTTCTTTATCCACAATGAGGACAATACCTTTTGGAGGAGTTTTTAGCAAGTGTACATGAGCTCTGGGTACCAAAGTCTTCAAACATAAGGATCCTGAGCCATTCTGAAATGCTGATTTTGAGGGCTTCTCCTCATACTTGATAACAGCAGCATTACCAGCTGTAACAAAAAAGAAATGTATATTTTATCTTATAAATGCAGTATTAGCTTTCTGTACAGATTCCTCCTTGAGTCAATGAATGCTTGCTAAATACCTATAACATGCCAATCATTACTGAATGAGGAATACAAAGGTAGTTTGGATATTCAGGGATGAAAATTAAATACCATAACCAGCATGACCATGCATTCTAGTTTATCTGGCAGGACCCAAAGTTTATGCACCTTATCTGATTCACTTTTCATCTCAGATAAAAGAGATAAACTACATGACCACCTATCCTATGTCCAAGCATGTCCAAGGTACAGGAAGGAGGTATAGAAGGATTATCCATGTCCATGAGGATGAGGAGGAGAACAGGCAGCCAACATTGCTAACGATACAAGAGCAAATAATGGACGAACTCCAGACTAGCTACAAGAATGCAATGTAGACCTGGTTCTTGGCTGAAGCAAGAAGCTGGAATGCATTACAGATCCAGAGAAAACAATCCTAAAATTTATATGGAGACAGAAAAGACCTAACAAATCAAAAGTCTTCTTGAGGAGTAAAAGCAAAGCTTGTGGCACAGACTTGCAGCTACTCTACACAACAGCATGGTACTGACAGAAGTGCAGACTTGTAGATCCTGGGACAGACTGAGCACACAGAAACTCCCCAGACATACTCAAGTATTGGATCTCTGACAAAAGATCCGAAAGCATATGTTGGAAAAAAGGCAGCCCATTGAACATGTGATACTAGGGAACTGATTATCTGTTTGCAAAAAGAATGAAACTGGACCCTTACCTCTCACCATATATTAATTAAAATCAAAATGAGTCAAAGATTTAAACAATAAAACAAAAACATTAAACATTCTGGAAGGTAAAACACTTGAAGACACAGATGTGTAGGAAAGGATTTCCTAAATAGACCTTCAGTCGCACAAGAAATAGCAGAAAGAATCAATAAACGGGATTGTATCAGACTAAAAAGCATCTGTACAGCAAAGGAATCAATCAGTGGAGTGAAGAAACAATCTCAGAATGGGAAAAAAATTTGCCAGCTACTCCTCAGACAGAGGACTAATATCTAGAGTACAGAAAGGGCTTAAAAAATTAAAACCACCTAAAATTAAAGACCCAGTTAAGAAACAGGCAAGAAAAATGAACAGATGCTTTACAGAAGGCGAAACACAAATGGTCAACAAACATGAAAAATGTTCCACATATGTAGCTGTTAGAGAAGTGCAAGTTAACAAAAATGCTAAGATTCCACTTTACTCCAGAAAGAATGGCTATCATTAAGAAATCAACAATACAGAATGCTGGTGTGGCTAGGCTCAAAAAGGACAGAATTCCTGCACTGCTGATGGGAATGTAAACATACAGCCATTATGGAAATCAGATAAAGATTTCTCAAAGAACTGAAATTAGAAATTCCATACTACCCAGCTAACTCTCTGCTCAGTATCTTCACCAAAGAGCTTAAGATATCATACTACAGGGATACATGCAGATCAATGTTTATAGCAGCCTAATTTGTAATAGTTAAATCCTGGAAGCAGCTGGGATACCCATCAACGGATGACTGCATAAACAAGATGTGGTATCTGAATATAATGGAATACTACTCAGCTATAAAGAATGACACATTTGAGACATTTGTAGGAAAATAGATTCACCTGGAAAATACAGCATTAAGTGATATTAAAGGATGGAAAGAAAGGGACAAAGGGGCAGAGCTCGTGTAGTAGGCAAGTGGTCTAAGGGAACAAGGGTGAGGGGTGAGGCGTGAGGAGGAGGGAAAGGGAAAATAAAGAATAAAGATGTGCCATGTATAGGAACCCAATATCCCCAATTAAACACTATAATCATAACATGAGCTAAGACAAATAATATTAACGAGTATGAACAAGAGGATTGGGGAACCAGGGGCCAGGGGTGAGGTAAGTGGAAGGGAAAGGGGCTTTTAAAAAGAAACAAGCTATAGTATGTACATATAAATGCTCCCCCAAGATGACTGAAAACTGTTGAATTGTAAACACGTACTAACAAAGTTTTTAAAAAGGAAGCTAGAGTGCTAACACTAAGCTGCCCATCCCCAAAGAAAAGCATAGAGGAACTTGACTAAATCAAGAAAATAATCTTTTATACCACCATGTAAAAATTTCCCCTCTGCCAAATGGATTTTTAAGACTGTTTCTCAATAATCTTTAACACTTAATCTTAAGTGCCCAAGGTTGTTCTATACTCACAGTCATAAATTTCTTACCAACTTTAAATCATTTCCTTACACTTCTAAGCAAACAACAAGAAATCTACCTTGCTTACAATACACTATAAATGTGCAGACAGCTAATTTTCACTAGGTTAAATAATCCCCTTCCCTATAATAGTGCTCACAGATACTACATCTGAGTACTGTACACACCTGGTATTATTCTCTCCTGGTCCTTATCCAGGTCCTGAACAATGAGCCATCTGTTAATTCTTTTTCTATCCACAGAACATTTCTATATTAGGTCAAATCAACACAAAACCTTCCCTCCTGCTGACTAACTTCTACCAATTTCCTGTCCATTTCAATTCTAACCTTTTCCAGAATCTAGAAACTTGTTTTTTCCAACGTTGGAAGAAAGCTAGTGGAAATGATGGTATTGAAGACACGAGTAACACAAAATTCAATGTAACTTCTATTCCTTTCCCTTTTTTGTTTTTGCAGTACAGGGAATTGAACTGAGAGCCTCACATCCTTATATCCTTAGCCCTTCATTATAACTTTTTTGCAGGGAAAGGATACCAGGGATTTAACCCAGGACCTTCCCACTAAGCTGTGTCCCCATCCTTATTTATTTTTTATTTTGAGACAAAGTCTCACTAAGTGGTCTGGGATGGGCTTGAACCTGTGACTATCCTGCCTCTGCCTCCCTGCTGTGATGGGATTACAGGCAGGTGCCAGCATGCTGGCTCTTCATAACTTCCCACAGGATGGACGTGGAATGACTACAGTCTTAAAATGACGAAACCAAAATTTCATACAGCATATTTTTTAGATTTTCCCATAAAATGCATACCAGGTCTCAGTAAGCATTTCAGTTTTTACAAAATCAAATCCAATAAAGGAAGTCATGGATGTTATTATAATATTAACTATGTTTTATAACAATAGGGATTTTAGTCTTGCACTTTTCAAGAAAATTTCTGTGATATTCAGTAGCAAATAGGTCAAGTCGCTTATTAAGATTTTGAAAAATGAAATTCAGTTCAACTTTTAAACTAAATATAACTGAATGATTCTAAATGCATGCTTTGTTTTCTAAGTTTTAGATAGAAAGCCTTGCAGTTTATAATGAATGACTAAAGCATTTTCTCATGAGGAGACATGCTCTGCCTGCTGGCTCTCTGTCATACACAGAACAGATGTTGTCCTAGAAATAAACTACCTCCCGGCCCTGTACAGGTTCAACAGAGCAAAGATCTAGCACCAGATCCAACAACTTGGGAACATACAAAAGTCAAAATCTGTAGTGAAAAGATAAAATGCCTATACTTGGCTCAGATACAAACCCATACATACTTATATTGTATACACATTTATATGAAAATACACTGACCCATAACAAAATTCACTGGTTATCCATTGTACATCTGTTCCACCTTACTAATAATGGTGGGCATAAATAGTCCTTAAGCTGACCATACTTTTCATGATCAAAAATCTTTCTCTCTATTCTCAAAACACTCTCATTGCTTTTTTGTAAATCCCAACTTGAAGGACATAATATTACTATGAGGCATGAATGATGCATCCTAACATGGCAGTGGGTCTGGTATCCTGATATTTAAGTGTTTTCTTCCCCAGTGTTACTATACTTGGATGATAAACTCCTTAGTTAATTCCAATAAACTAAGCAAAGTGTAACAGTTTCAAGTAATGGAATGGGATCTAGGTTCCACAAGTCCTGGTCCTTAGTGATCACGTGTAATGGTCTGAATTGCTTCACCTTTCCCTGTAGAACAGGGGGATGTTACAGAAACATGATACATACGTTGACACACGGGCTCTACCACTGACTATGGTACTCAGCCCCGAGGCCAGATGCATCCTCAGAATCATCCTGACACCATGCACCAGGGACCACAACCACTTAAGGACAGTTAGATCTATGGAGTCAGTAGATGAAATTTCACCTGTAGTTACTTAGGTCTCAGTTATAACATATATTAAAAATGCCCCTTGTAATGTTTAGTCCTTGCTATCTCAACTACACTAGCGTAACACATTCTCTGAAATCTTTATTTTCCTGTATTTCTCCAGTCTAAAATGTGTTTCAGGTGAAGAAAAAGAGAGATGAAGGAATATAAAAAGAAAGTGATATTCTCAGAAAACTCTAAGCATAAAAAAGGGCTTCTTGCAGCCCTAGACTTCTATTTACAAACTAGTATTTCATACTGCATTCCGCCATCAGCTGAAATTCATTTTTGTTTTGTTTATGAAATTATGCGCATACACACAGAGCCAACATTCTGTTCATTTCTTGTATGTCATATGAATCAGTTTAACACTCCCTGCTGTGCCAGCTCATTTGCCCACCTGGCTTAAAATCAAATGACTACTGAATAAATTTTCACTTTTCAAAGCAAACTCACTCAACTCTGTAACAACAAAACTGTCTCATGACACTCTAGAAAAACATCAAAAATGAATGAATGGGAACAAATAGTGATCTGAATATTCCCTTATCAAAGAGTCTACTTAGAAGTGCGTAAGTGCCAACATATCTTGTAATGTAGAGCCCCCAGCCTGTATGCCCGTCCCTTACATCATCTCACCTACAGCAGACATCACTAGTCAAACACAAACTCTCTCTGAACCTGGAAGCACTAACACTCCAGGTGCTTCTTATCAAATGACCATACTCACTAGCCATTCCTGCCATGAGAAAAACAAAGACAAAATTAAAGGTAAAAGACACTCATCCTTCTTCCACCCACTTAATCACCTGAACAATCCAAAACATTCTTCTTTATAGCTATTAAGCATCATCTTATTACAATAAAGAAAATTTACAAGTCAGAAACATTTAGTGCTGCAAGGATTCTGAGGACAGTTTGGTCTTCCCCTTTCATTCACCAGATGAGAAGACTGAGGCTAAAAGAAGGAAATGATTGTCTGCCTTCCCCTGAGTCAGCAGGAAAGCTAAGGTAAGTCTGAGATGAGCCGGCACCCTTTTCTGTGTCACCCCATCTCAGCAGGGCTACCCACAGAAGAGGAGGAAAAGAATGGTGTGCTTGTTTATTCAGTCGCCTTCTCATCTCCTGTTTCCAAAGGAGTGCAAACAGTTTTGGCTTGCATCTCTTACACTGCCTCACACCATCTGCCTCTCAAAAATAATTATGCTTTTATGGGCAAAGAGGACGGATAAAGAAGCCTCCGGACGGACTTCATAATCCCGCTAATGTTGCAAAATGATGTACTTTCCCAAGATTTCCTTCTAAGTTGTATAATGATTCATAAATCATTCTAGTCACCTTACTATGTATCATTTTTCTTTCTCCAATTATTTTAATAACCTGAAACACTGAGCATTAGGTACCTGAGTCCAAAAGCATTTATATTTAACCACTATAAATGAACACACCTGCTACAGAAACTACTGTGCAATGTTTTACATTAATATCCAAAGGAAATCATTATTCTACCTGCAAAATTTTCTATGCTTAAAAGAACACACACAAATAATCTGTTAAAACTCCCAAATAAAGAAATACTACTGCTTTCATTTGGTCATTTTACGACTTGTGACATTATTTATATAGGATCCCGAAGTACCAGAACAGATTCTCATATTACAATAGCACCATGCTAGCGCAGAAGTTCTTAAAAGATGCTACTGACAATATCACATCACAAAGAAATGATCAAAGCAAGAGAACATTCTCTAGAATTGTTCAAATGTTTAAAGCAGGAAAAAATCAAAACTCTTGTAATGTAGATCTTGTAATGTAGATCAAAGAAGTTATTTCCTAACATGATCCTTCATTATTAGAAGCAGGATAATTTGAGCTCAAAATTTTTCATATTTTGAAGTAGTTATTAAAAATGTATACATGTTCAACACTTATAAATGAATTGTATATTAAGTACAGTATAATTGCAGAAAATACTCAAAGATGTAAAATGTTCCAATTTAATTCTAAGAAAGCATTATTCTGCATTTATACATGTAAGCTACATAGACAAAAGCTCCTATTTAATCAGAAATTAAACTCAGAAAGTCTTTGATAATAGAACAATTTCAGGTGCCAAGAACATTGAAAATGCTAAATTATATTTAGTAAGAGTTCCAAAACACACAAAATATACAATAAAACTGGTTCTATAAGAATCTTCTATAAGATTCACATCTTAAATATAAACATGTCCAAGAAATACAATAGTTAACATAAATTGCAAAAATAAAAATCAAGAGGTTCTAACATCAATTTATTGATATTAAAATTTAAGCATGCTTACAAAGAAAAGAATCAAACCAGAAATCGTTGACCTACTTCTTTTCCCAGTAAACGTGGCTAACAAAGGAATTATACAAAGGCTGTAGGATCCCACGACCAGCAGTGTCAATAAAGTAGCATCATAGTGCTTCTCTGAACCAGCCGGTGGGGTGAGTGTAGAATTGATAAAGATTTTTGAAGCAATATCAGTTTCTGTACAACTGCGAAATCCTCCTGGTATAGTCATTTAAAAGGATCAAGGCAAGCTCAAGCAGGGGAAACTGCAGCCATGTTCAGTCTCATATCCCTCATGCTTGCTCTCAGTGCATTAGAATAGAGGGGGGAAATCTGTAAGCTCCACGGCACTACACGAAACAGATTAAACCAGCTAGCAAATCAAACTAAGAAAGAGACTTACTGCTTTGAATGCTTAATCTGCAACAGGGACACATCGCTACTAAACAGGCTCTGTGGGTGTATGGCAAAGCCCTTTGTTAACAGACAAAAAGGAATGGACAAAAGGATTTTACAGCCTCCGTAGGAGTGTCAGGCACGGCTTGAAACAGTGGCCAGACCAACATGGCTGGCCATGGAAAGGCTGGGTTAGGGCTCAGCACAGTGTGTATACTTAGGTGCTATCAGCCCATCGCTGAGGCTTTGAGAGCACATTGGTGGTTCTGTTTTCTGAGTTTGTTTTTAAAATTGATACTAGAACAGAGAAAGCTAGGAGGGAAATGATCTTAAAATAATACATGTGTGAAGAACCTTTTCAAATTCACAGAGAATTAGCTGTCACATGCAAACCCTTCTGGGTTTTGCTGCAACTTCAAAATTTAAACAATAAGCAGATAATGGTCTTATTTAGTTCTAAGCAACATATTTCAGGATTCCTAAAGTGTCAGTATGCAGATGCTTACCTGCATATGAAACCAGCTACTGCTAAGTGACCTGTTAGAACACGTTTGTGTTCGTTAACTGTCATTAACTCAGTGCCTGATTCTCTAAAAACTATTTTGTCACATACTTGCTGTGTGACTTTGGTCTAGTAGCAATGTCTCTGAGCCTATACAGCAAGTCAAAGTAACATCCCAAGTTACTCAAAGAAAACAAAAGAGAAAAACAATATACTATAATGCCCTATAATACTTCTCCACACTCAGATATGTTCAATAACCATTATTTTGCTTTGTTCCTATTGTCTGGCCAGAAAGCAGAAACTGATCTGTGCATAAAGCAGAGAACAATTCTGTACTTTCCTCCTATACTTGCATCCTATTTCATTTGATATTTTCATCATCCATGTATTTAACATCTTTCTCTTCACCTACTTTTTAGAGAAAGGGCCATTTTGTTTATACCCTGTACAGCCCAGTATACTGCTCCCAGCACCTGGGCAAGGCAGGGGCACAGAACCTGTCACAACCGCTTAAGTCATGAATTATTCAGAGTTTATTTACAAAGGGAGTGAAAAAATAAGTACTAAACCCAAATACATCTTTTGAAAAAAAAGAATAGCCGAATTAATTCACCTGCTTTATTGCAAGAGATGAGTTCACATTAATTTAAAACTTTAAAAAATTCTTTTAAATTATTTGGTGTGAAGTTATGTTGGTCATATTGCACTGAATCTTGCATTCAAAGCAAAAGTTACAAAACATGTATTTGCAAGATTCAGTGTTTTACAAAGGACACAGAACTGCAGTGATCTCTCAGTCTGATTTCCAGTTGGGCTCCAAGAGCTCTGAGGTTACTATTCTTTTGTTAAACAAACTCCCAAATACCTTCAGTTCAAATGATGCCCATTAGGCCCTTCATGCAAAAACTTAACAGATGCCTTCAATGCATAATTAATTGATCCAGCATTTCATAGTATGTTTATCAAAAGAGAACATTGTTTTACAAAATCTGTTTATCCTTCCAAACTTTCTAAGTATTTCCAAACAAGCAGTGTGTAAAATTTCCCCTAAATACTGAATTTTACTAGTTGCTGGGGATATAGCTCAGCAGCATAAGTCTTTGCCTGGCAAGCACAAGGTCCTGAATTCGATTCCCTGTACAGAAAGAAAAAAGCAAAAAGAAAAGAAATTCTACTAGTTATTTAGAAAACCTGGGTTTTTTCTGATAACTATTGTTTTAAAATCCTGACAGTGTGACAGGACCAACTTACAGTGATTGCTGTAGGTGCGTGGGTCACTGTGGGTGCTGCTGATTGACGGGGTGCTTCCTGTTCTCGGTAATGCAGGGCTTTTCAAAGAAGCTTTGGATTTAGGAAGTGGCCTAGCCAAATTCACCCAAGACGGTTGCACACTTTTCAAGGATGTAGCTTTTCCTTGAGATTTAAAAAAAAAAAAAAAAAAAAAAAAAAAAAAGGTTTACTGTTATTCATTTTGAAAGCTGGCGCATTAGTCCTGTAAACTCAAACTATTAACACAGAATGAATATTCAGGATCATACATATTTATGTCCAACCATTTGGAGGCAGAAGAGCAGAAACAATGAGACAACTTGGCTCTGAGAAGTGTAACTGTCACCCTACAACCTGAAATAATTAACTTACACATCTCTGAAATGGAATATGGATCTGAAGAACTACATGAGAGAAAAGCTTTTGGCTAAGCTTAAAGCAAAGTAGAAACAAATTGATAGTGGCCCTCTCGTAGTGTTATGAAAATAAATTTACAAAAATAGGCAAATCACTCCATGCATACAGTAGGCTATCATACAAAAACAAAAATCAGTGAAAATATTTTAAGGCAACCAAAACAAAAATTCAACTGAATGAGAAAAATATCATTTGAAGAAGATCTAACACCTAACACCAGGTGGTGCTATATTATTAGTCTTCATTTTTCCAATCCCCATAGATTGAGAAATTTAAATGGTCTCAGCTCAAATCCTAGCTCTTCCTGTAACAAGGGTTTCCACTTACCTGTGAAATCTGCATGTTTCTGATCCACTGGCATCTCTGAAAACACACTATCTTGATGCTCGCACTAACTACCTAAAGATCAGCACCTCCCATGGTCAATTCTTTGTTCGCAATTCTCTTCAAACTCACTTTCTTGGAAAGATTCTTTTATTTATTTTATGCTTTACTCAATCTCTCTACAGACGAGTCCCAAGTTATCATCTGCAACCCTGACTGCCTGAATCCTGGTGCCTCTCATTCCTTTAACCCCTTGTTGCATGTTCCAACTTGGACAGACACCCTCGTTTATTTATGGTAGTTATAGGTCTAATTCTCCCCTTAAAAAAAAGAAGTCTCAAGACACTGGAATCACACTTTCTTCCTTGTTATGACAGTAGTCCTAAAGTTGGTTCCTACCAATTTCTACCTTCTTATGTATGCCCCACCCTTCTCCACAGTTTGGGCTACTCTAGCAGGGGCAAACCTACGGTACAGGTGCCACAGAGGGCTACTGATTATCACTGAAAGCTATCTGCTATCGAAAGGTCACCATCACTGACCTACTCTACTCTGCTTCTGCCTTCCTTGTGACTGAAATGGGCCTTTTTCCATTCCACACCCTGAATACAAAATCATTGTGACTCCACCCTAGAGCTACAGATTCATAGTCTGCATTTTATCAAGAGCCTCCAGGTTAAAATATACATTTAATTTCTGAAGTGCTATTGAGAATCACAAAGCTTTTTGCCAGCCTCCCCTGGCAGGACACGCTCCTTTGTGCACAATGAACCATACAACCCTGCCATAAAGAAGGATAAGTTTAAGACATTTCTACTTAAATGGATATACCTTGAAACCATACTCTTAAGTGAAATAAATCAAACATACATGTTCAAATATCACATGGTTTCTCTGGTATAAGAAACCAAAATTGGGTCTGGGGTTCAGCAGCATAAGTGCCAGCCTTGTAAGCAGGTGGTCGTGCGTTCGATCCCCAGTACCAATTAAAAAAAAATTAAAAAGAAACCAAAAGTGTAAATGAAGACCAAAATGTATAATTAAGATACTGGGAAATGGGAAGAACATGTTCAAATGGGAAGCGGAACTAGAAAGAGGGGAGAGGAAAGGAAAGGAAAGGAAAGAAAATGAGAAAAGAAAAAAATGGAAACAAACCTTTTATAAATAAAGAAGAGAAGAAGGATTAAAGGGGAGGAGAGGAACAGGAACAAAAGAATCAGGATGTATCATGTGTAGATTCAAATTCACAATAATGAATGATGAGCATGTGTATCTAAAATATACCAATAAACCTAATCAATAAAAAAAAACCAAGCCGCCCCAAAAGATGAAACAGATAAAGGAACCAAAAAAGGATAAATGAGATCAATATTTAAATATATTCTAATACTCACTTTTATGCACCTATGGAATAGCTACTGTTCAATCTGTTTTATTTTACTAAGAAAAAATAAAATAGTGCTTTAATTAATGCATTATGTGGCTACTAACAAAGACAGTGACTTTACTACTGGAAAATTTTTCATACTATAATGGGAGTTTTCCCTGAGGCTGCAAATGAAAGCCAAAGAGTGAACTCTTGAATGGTACTTCTTTGTCCTGACACTTGTATTAAACGATTCATTCTCCACAAGAAAGCTCTCGGGATTTTTCAGGTATGTGGTGTAATCTCATGGCTCCAATTTGGCCTCTTTTCCAGAGCAGTCTATCAGTCAAAGCAAATACTCATCTCTAAACTATCAAATAGATATGCATGAACTAAACTTTTAACTGTTGTCAAGGACTACTCCCCATTGAAAACATGACTTGCCACTCTTAACATTTGATAAAACGTATGATGTCTGAAGATGAGATTCAATTAGTTAAACACATACACAGTTGACTACATTAACTATGCTAGGAAAGCTTAGTTCATCTTAATAAGCTATCTAGACAGTGGATTCACACAAGAGTGTGTGTTCCACAAGTAAATACTTGCTTACCCAGTAAGGTAACTGCAAGTAATAACAAAGGTCCAAGGTAGCTGGTGTGCAAAACACCTGACATCTTAAGAGTAGACATCTTACTCACTACCAAGTACCAATAAAATCCGACTGGAAAAAAATCTGCCAAATATTTGCATGAAAAATTGTCTTCTACTAGAGAAGACACTATCTAATTATAAGAAGATATACTGTTCTACAGTTTGCATTGCTTAGTGCAAACTCAGGTATCCAGGAGAAGTAAAAATAAAACAGGGATGAGAGGTAGCTTAGGTAGACAGTTTATGGCTGGGAGGCAGATGGCATTAAATGCCAGGTTAGAAAATTTAGACCTTAATTTTAAGGGAAGGGTATGGGGAAAGATGAGGAAGAAAAACACTGCAGCTTTCCTAGCATTTTACTAGAACCTGATCATGTGGCAGGGCTGTACAGAACTGCCTGAAAAGTTTGAAATTGAGGTGACAAGTTAGGAGGCAGTGCACCTGCCAAGATTAGGGAACCAGGAATCTAAATCAGAGAAAGTGAGGTAACTGAGGTCGGTTTGTAAGTAAAAGCATGATAAGGCTTGCATGTGACAAAGCCACTCACTAGTACAGTCAGGAAGAGAAAATGTTAAGCAGAGTTAAGATACAAAAGAAAAAATATGTTTACAGTAATGACTATAGTTTGGGTTCTTCAAATGGAACTGCAAGTTTGCTCTCAGTTAACTCTGAAGTGCTACACGCTTTCACTAACATCTAATAGAAGAGTTTTATTGTATAATGCTATTTAAATACACCTGATAGAGTGCTAACAAAAATATGTACCTCACAACATTAACAGCTTATTTGCACACTAGAAAAAAAATAGAAAATAGGTCCTTTAGCAACAAAAGAAGAGATAACACAAATATTTATGCACTACATTCTGGAGTGCCTATCTTAATAAAACAAATACTACTAAACATAAAAGATCAAATAAATATTAACAGTCATGTTAGGGGATCTTAACACCCCACTTTCAATAAAAGACGGATCAATTAAACAAGACATGTGCTCCTATGTTCTTCTCCTACGAGTAAGTTTATCAAAAAAGTTCTGGATCTAAGTGAAAATTACAAAAATATGGAGCCAAAATATTTGCATAACTGTACACATTCTTTCCTGAATATTATAACTGAATGCTGTTTCAGTCTAAACCCACATGTGATTGTTTTTTAAGAGAACAATTGAGAGAACTGGGGGGAAATAAAGCCTTAATCTACAATGACTGAGATAAAAGAGTCAAAAGTCTCTGGAACAGAAAAATCACAAGACAACCACAAGTCAACCTCAAAAAGAAAAACCACTCAACTGAAAAATGGATTTCCTCCATCACTGATTTCTATCTTCAATGAACTGATGTCTAACTTCTGTTTTTCTAACAGTATACATGGGGAAATTCTGATTCTTCTGTATTTACATAAGCAGTCTTTGTGGGCTACAATGTTCTGTTTTGGAAAAGGTACCACCTGCTGCTAAAAAGAATGTATACTCTGTTGCACTGGGTTGAAACTTTCTGTAGGTATCTTATTAAGTCCATATATATATATATATATATATATATATATATATATATATATATATATAATTTTTTTTTTGTCTTTTTCCTTTTTATCGGTACCAGGGATCGAACTCACAACTGCCTGCTTGCAAAGCAGGCACTTATGTCACTGAGCTAAATCCCCAGCCCCTAAGTCCCTATATTTAAGGCTGTGTTCAGCTGTGACATTTCTTCACTGGTTGTTTCATTGATCTGTCTCTTATTGAAAGTGGGGTGTTAAGATCCCCTAACATGACTGTTAGTATTTATTAGATCTTTTATGTTTAGTAGTATTTGTTTTATTAAGATAGGCACTCCAGAGTTTAGGGCATAAATATTTGTAAGAGTTATCTCTACTTGTTCCCTGAAGTAGAATGCAGTGACCTTGTCTCTTATAATCAATTTTAGCTTGAAATTACCATGTCTGAGATTAAAATTGTAAACCCCGTTTGTTTTCAGGTCCCGGTGCATAATATACTGTTTTTTAATCCTTTAATTTTTAGTCTATGAATATCTTTTGGGATGAGTCTCTTAAATGCAACAGATTGTTGGGTTCTGTTTTTTGATCCAGTCTGCCAAACTATGTCTTTTAACTGGAGATTGCCATCTTTAACATTGAGAGAGAGTGCTGAGATGTGTTGATTACTTGCTATCATTGCATTCTGTCTCTTTTCCTGTCTTTTTTTTTTTTGTCATTATTTATTCACTGGCTTTGCTTGTATTTTTGTTTGATCTGAGTTTTCAACTGTGTGTCATTGTCTCTGTGTAGGATACTCTTGAGTACTTTCTAGAATGCTCATTTAGCATTTATATCATTTGAGCTGGTCTTTTTCATGAAATGTTCTTATTTCTCCATCTATT